CACCAATTTATAAACTGAAATACCATACATACTGACATAATTTAATAGTTAACCATAATAATATTACTTAACACATTCCCCACTAATAAATAGTTGTTTTAATAAAAACAATAAACTGGGATTAAGCCTGACTATTGTGCAAAAACAAAACATTACTTAATATATCGGGGTATCAGTAAATAAAGGTTTACCGTTACGAGGAAAATATTATGCGTATTTTTTTATTGCGGAAATTTGACATAAATTAAATGGTAAAACGTTTCTGAAATATATTTTTCATGCATTCGTTAATTTTTACAAAACCTAGATTGATGCAATTCTGATAGGGCAAAACAACGTTTGCCGGGTCTGCTAGTATTTTTTTCATAAATATATTTATTAAAAAAATACTAGCAGACCCGGCAAACGTTGTTTTGCCCTATCAGAATTGCATCAATCTAGGTTTTGTAAAAATTAACGAATGCATGAAAAATATATTTCAGAAACGTTTTACCATTTAATTTATGTCAAATTTCCGCAATAAAAAAATACGCATAATATTTTCCTCGTAACGGTAAACCTTTATTTACTGATACCCCGATATATTAAGTAATGTTTTGTTTTTGCACAGGCTTAATCCCAGTTTATTGTTTTTATTAAAACATCTATTTATTAGTGGGGAATGTGTTAAGTAATATTATTATGGTTAACTATTAAATTATGTCAGTATGTATGGTATTTCAGTTTATAAATTGGTGGAACTTATTCCACCAAACATAAGTAAGGATGGCGTAATTACAATTCATATTTTGATCACATACCATAAGTCGTTGGAATCATCAGAATTGGTGCAGACGTTCTTGAGTTATAAAACAACCTTAGGAAAATGTGAGTCAAATTGGTGCAGTCGTTATCAATGGAAACATTTTTCACATCATGAAAAATATATTTGAGGAACAATAAAAGCACATATAAGTTAGACACCTAGAGCATCTAATGCCCAAATTGTATGTACCGCACTATAGGGCGTGAGAAGTGTTTCTGTGTAGTTAGAAGTTCATCCGACAGATGGCGCAATATTTAGTTTTTTTGTGTTTTTGCAACGTAACTCAAGAACTACTGCACCGATTTTGACCAAATTTTATGTATTTGCTCTATCGGGCGTGAGAAGCGTTTCTGTTTAATTTTAAGTTCGTCCCACAGATGGCGCGCTATATAGTTTATTTGCGTTTTGCCCTATTAGAGATTGGGTGCTAAATTGATGCTGATAGGGCAAAACAATGTTTGCCGGGTCTGCTATTACACTATAAATTGCCTTTAATTATGTATTTCATGTAGGGTAAGGAAGTAACTGTAAGCTGTCGGTATAGTACTTTATGGTATATGTCCCACATAATGGAAGGTCCAGCCGTTTCTTCAAAATATATTTTTCAAGATTTTCGCGTATTTTTCTCAAAAAAAAATTTTTTTTTCATAAAAACTCTTGTCAAATCGGTCCCGCCGTTCTCAATTAATAAGTTGCTATACATTGTTAACATCATTTGTATAATTTTTTTTCGTTTGACTCCCACGCGCTTTTCACGAAGACAGATTATGTATGAATTGGTGTCGAAATACTTAACGTCGATTGCAGTGGTTCTTGAGTTACGGTGCAAAAACACAAATTAATAAATACGGAGTCGTCTGTTGGATGAACTTCAAACTACACAGAAACACTTCTTACGCACCTTGGAGCCTGTACATACAATTTGGTCAAAATCGGTACAGTAGTTCTTGAGTTACGTTGCAAAAACATAAAAAAACTAAATATGGCGCCATCTGTCGGATGAACTTCAAACTACACAGAAATACTCCTCACGCCCCATAGTGTCTGTACATACAATTTTGTCAAAATCGGTGCAATAGTTTTTGAGTTTAGTGATCACGAATATACACGTAATTTTTATATATATAGAAGATAGATAGATAGGGTAAACGCACCTAGTTCCGGCATGTACCAATAGTCGGCATCTGTTTTATATAACTTCAAATAACTACAAAATTCTATAACTAAATATGAAAAATACCTTGAATAATCTTCAATGACACTGCAATCTATCTCTGTATAAAATTAAATCGAGCTAAGTTCATTTATTCAGTCAAAAATTGGCATTTTGTCAATGAGGTTTGTCAACACTAGCTATAATTCATGTTTCTTAAGAAATAAAATAGTGGGCATGACGATTTCAAAAGACTTGTAACTATATTAAAATTATATTTTTTCACAAGGATCTCCTTCATAATTGTAAAGAACATAGAGGAGAATACTTTAGAATTTAAAATCATTAAAAAATATTTCTAATAATGATATTTTTATCGATGCCAACCTTAGGAACAAAACATTTTAAAGTTTTCCTAAAGTCGGCATATGGGTGAATAATAAGCACCTTTTCGATCATTTTGGCTCAAAATGAAAAAAAAAATGTTAAATAAATCCTCTAAATAACGATTATTTTATAAAAAAAATAGTTTTGAGTGTTTTATATATTAGAAGACACGATTTTAATCTCAAATACTTTTAACCTCTGAAATGCCTTATTTAGCCATGCCGAGAATTGTATAACAGGTTCCCAATGTCGGCACCATGTTTTATAATTCTAATATTTTAATAAATAATATCATTTTATATAACTTTTTCAATACAACACTGATGGAAACGTCCCATAGTAATAATTTATTATTGCAAATAGCAGAAAAATCAATTAAATATATAATTTTTGTTTAACTAAAATGTGACGTGCCGACTATTGGAACATAACATGCCGACAATTGGAAAAATGTGCCGACTATTGGCACAAAGGCATTATTTTACATAATTATTAATTCAATCTACTTTAATACAAGTTAATTAAACAAATTTGTATTCCATCGGAAAGTAAAAATTTCGAAACAGATGAACCTAAATACAATATCGTGGAAAAGATGCACTTGGAATGGTGAAACGTTTAAAAAGCGAAAATTCTTAAAGTGCCGACTATTGGTACACTTACCAATTCATATAATTTGAGTGAAAACTGCGCAAACACCATTAATTTAATGTCCAACTATTAAATTCAATAACATTTAAAGGCCACTCAGGCACTTTTCGCTGTTTTATCAATTAATTTATTAAATTTTCCGCGACGACTTTAACTTCCACACGTTATCCATTCCAGAGTTGCCCAACTTGTTTTTACTTACGCTTTCTTTATCCATTTTAATTTATATAATACAAAATCAGAATAAAATTAGCTTGAAAACAAATTGCGTTGTGTTACAGGAAAAATTTTACTGTGTAATTTTTTCTTGTAAGAATATGCAAATGCTCAGTAACACAACTGTCAAATTTGTTCTCTTAATTCACTATTTCACAAATTTCGTATAAAAAATGTATAATGTAGTTTAAAATATTTTTATTTTATTATACAGATTTCCAGTAGTTATGATTCTAAATTTGTAGGTGTAATTTTGATCTGTGTTCGCAAACATTTGAGAAGTACATACTGCAGTCCTAAAATTTAATAAAGATTAATTTTTTTTAAAATAGTTTTTCGACACATATGACATATGCGTAAGGTTTCGGCACATCTTGAACATGATCCATGTCCACATAGAAAAGCAACATCCCGAATTCTTTCCATACAGATGCTACAATAGTGCGACTCTTCATATTCAAGAATTTTATTTTCCAAGTATCGAAGGCGTTCTACAGCGGGAATAGTACTAGAATCGGAATTTGCTAAAATACGACCATTTTCATCAACACGTTTTTCAATATGAACAGCGCAACGCAAACACTTCTTCATTCGTTTCCCGCAGTCTTCACATGATATTTGGTGCTGACAGGGTTCAAATTTAATTAAAGGCAAATTTTCATCACATACTATACACGAATTGGGGATAGAAGTTGTAGATATGAATGCAACTTGATCTTGTTGTGAGGAGTGAGCAAATATATTATCTACTACTGTCGACTGTTTTTTGGCATAGCAAGCAACATTGGTTGCGTCATTATGTGGTGGAGTTTTTATTAAATTATTGCTTGTTGCTTGTGAATTTAATGTCGATTCTATTGATAATGTTTCACTCAAAGATTCTGGTGGTTCAACAGATCTGGGTCCATGTTGAATGTTTGTTTTTAAACACATTAAATGTATGTTGTGCGCAATTTGCTCAATTGCAGGTAAAACATCACTAGTGGATGTCGAAGAATTGTTTCCATCAACGGGTGGTATTGGAGCAGGTCGTTGGTGCGATAATATAAGTTGTTTATGTTTTACATCTGTAATCCATTCAAATATATTAACACCTTTATTATTATACTCTATTTGACAGCCCAACCGATGTAAATAGCATAATAATGTGTACATGAGCCGGTCCTCATGTATATAAGATAAACTTTCATAAATCGCAAATATTTCAGGTGAATCTGCTATAGTTGGTTCTGAAGCTTGTAGAATATTATTTTTCTTAACCACACATAAGTGCATAGCATTGTCGCCATCCTCATCTCTTGCGGTAACGTCGCAGCCCAAATTAACAAGTTTTTCAATGACTGCAACATGGCCTTGAGATACTGCTAAAAGAAAAGGTGTTTGACGTCGATTATTCCGTATGTCGATGTTCGCTTGTCCTTCTTTGACTAACGTCTCTACAACATTCGCATGGCCATTAATCGCAGCTAAATGCATAGCAGCGAAACCGTCGTCTTTTTTTACATCAACGAGTTGCCGAGCCAATTGCAGGATGCGACGAGTGGCCACAACATTACCTTTAAGCGCAGCATGATGTAGTACATTAAATCCTCTATTGTTTTTAACAGTAAAGTCTAAATTTGGCGCATTACATAATATTTCCACCACCTCTGAATTTTCTTTTCCTATAGCATCGTGAAGCGCCGTATCCCCATATGAGTCCTGTATGTTTACGTTGACATTGTGATTCAATAATTCTCGAACACAGTGTGGCGTTTTTTTGTGAGCACAAATATGAAGTGCGGTACAATGACTGGAGTTAAGAAAATTTTTATCCGCGCCATTTTGGAGCAAAATGCGCATTGTTTCTGGCTGATTTCCAAAAGCTGCGTAATGTAACGCAGAGTCCCCTTCTTTATCGACTATATTAACATTAGCTCCTTTTGAAATTAATAATTTTACAATTTCAACAAATCCTTGATGGGCTGCTACCTGAATGGACGCCTTGCCTCCACTCATTACATTCACGTGATCTGGATGACTATCAAGATATTGCTTTACAAAGTCGAAGTGGCCATGAGCCGCTTCCCGTACCAGTTTATCTGCCATAGATGTCCCCGACAGACCAGATAAAGGAGTCATTACATGATCCGTTCGTCTATTGCTTAAATCCATCATACTATTTGACCTTTCAGCGGCCGTTGCTATTGGAGACCTTTCTAGCTTGACACATTTTGGATTAAGTGTCCATTCGAACCCATCATCCAATTGTTCCAGACGTAGGTCACCATCTGAATAAACTTTAACAACCTTGCATAGCTTCCCAAGTGCCTGAAAATATGATTAATCACTAATATGACTTATCTTAACAAAAATATTCATACATATCGCATAAGTTCTATCCATTCCCCATGTCCCTTCTGAAGTTGTTGTACTTTTGCTGCATCATTTATTATAGTAACTAAATCTCCAACACGAAATGACACAACTTTAACCAAGGCGGTTGGGTGAAAAGTCCATCTATTTGGGCAATTCTCATACTGTACTCTGAAATTAGAAATAATGATATATAAAATATCTTAAACATTTCCTGCGAAAATTCAAGCTATTATAATAGTTAGTTATTTTTAATCATGGTTTAATGATAATAAGTAATTGCAAGTGTCTGGCGGTTTGTTGAGTTATTTTTTACAAACAATATAATAGAAAGTGAATTGAGTTTTTGGGTACATTAGGATCGCTTGTTCTACAACACCACCTGTTGCCACGCTAGTTATCGTACAAATCGTAGTGTAATAATATAAAAATTTCTTCATACAGAAAATAAAAGTAAATAAAATAAATTTTTTGTGCACCAAGTTGAAGTGTACCGGCAAGAGGAAAACTATGATTCTTAGTGTTCCGCCAATTGAAACACTACTATTTTTAGTGTTTCGGCAAGTGGAACACTAAAATTTTTAGTGTTCCGACCAGCGGAACACAATGATTTTTAATTAATCAGTATACTACGATTTTTGTGTACCGCAGCCGGTACGCTACGATTTTTGGTATACCAAGTTGTGGGATCCTACGATTTTCGTTGAGCTTCGGAACAGTAACGCTAAAAATATTTTTAGTGTTTGTGTACCGGTACAATACGTTATTTTAGTGTACCCATCCACCTTGGTACGGTATAGAACAATAAGGCATTACCATAATGTTTATTTTCGAACGCCGATTATTATACCATCTGTACTTTTATATATCTAGCTGATCCGGAAAGCAACGTTTATCTGTGTGTTTCATCATTATAATTATGGTAAAATTTACTACATATGCTAGAAGTAGATCGTCAAATTTTTTAGGACATTCGTATTGCTCAATATAATACGTCTTTTATGTATTGATAAAGCAATGTGTTAATACTATATCTAAAAGTTTACTTAGAATGAACTTGTTTGTACAAGAAAAGACTGAAAAGAATTATGACATATAACTATGATTGTCATATGTTACAAATGTCAACATTAGCGATGCTATCAGATCCCTGTTCTTTAGAAGAAGCATGATATGAGTTTATGGTATTTGACACCCACGATGGTAAGATATTCTTTAAACTCTGCGAAATACCTGTACACACAAGCACTCTTGAGTAACAGCTTTTTTTTATCGATTACTGACTGTCCAACAAACATGAATATGAATGACAAACAAGCCAAATTTGGGCAAAAGTGTCATTCAAAAGTGCCCGACATGTTTATCGGATTTAAGTATTCCACTACCATCAATTTTGTGACTATGGAATTCAACAGTTCTTTCGCCAGGTATTTTCAGGACCATACATTATTTTTGCATATTCAGTAGTGTTGGCGGTTTATTTGGGATACAATTTGTATATTTTTTTTTTTTTTGCAAAATAGTTAGGCTGAATCCCAGTTTGTTGTTTTTATCTCACGTAGTTTGCAGAATGATATTTATCTACCATGAAGCTAAAGATCGATGCTTACATGGCACAGTGTATGCAGGAGTTTAAATCCCAAAAAGATGCTCTTTTTGAATTGTACAGTGCTGAATTTTCTGCGGTGAAGAGCAATATCACTGAGCTGAAGCAGTCCGTTTGTGATCTGAAGTTAACTGTCAGTGAAATGAAAAACACTGCTATTAGTGTGGAAAAGAAGTTAATAGATAGAGTCCATGAATTGGAATTATATAATGCTATGCTCCAGCGCAGACTGAATCGGTTGAATGTCATTATTAGAGGACTGCCGGACAATATAAAAGACCTTAGAGCGCTAACTGTAAAAATTGCTAAGGTTTGTGGGATGCAGCTGGTGCCTAGAGATTTGCAGCACTGTTGTTACATATCTGACCGTAGAGCGGTGTTGGTGAAATTTAACTCTGTACAGGGGTCGAATTCTTCTGAAGGAAGTAATTGAGAATTGCATTGTGGAGTCTCGAGTGTTTATAAATGATCACTTAATTAAGTCGACCTCCAAACTTATCTATGCCTGTAGAGATTTGCTTAAAAGGAACATAATAGAAAATTTAAGCTGCTTAACGGTGACCAGCCTTCTTCCTGATGGAACGAAAACTAGGTTCGAGCAGCAGGAACTTTTTAATTTTGCCAATCGATCCCGAGATTCGCGGAATGTATTGGATAATGAATGTGGGCGGTGCAGTTTCCTGTTACATAGCCATGAGATGTATATTTATTATTGTTGATCTCATTTTTCTTAATTTTAATATTATTTTTCTTAAAACCATTATTTTTTTTTTTGAATTGGTATATTTTTTATTGTTTAATTTGTCATTCTTTTATTATTATTTTGAAATGCATTCGATGTTTAATCGAACTTTAATAATTATGCTCCCCAGTCTCTGATTTAATTTTTATATGCCCTGATGTGAATCTAGGGCCTGTAATTAGCGATGCTCAATTCTTTAGGCAGAACATTCATTGTGGTGGTGGTAAGCTTACGTATGCCCATTTGAACTGTCAGGAGGAGGCTTTATAGTGTCCAAGCATATTTGCCTCTTGGCTTTAGGGTGAAGGTGGCTATGTCGTTGTTGATGTCTCAGGTTAACTATTGTTTGGAAGTTATTTCGGGCTCTAATTCTGGTCATTTGCATCGGCTTCAAAAGGTTGTTAACTCCATTGTTCGTTATGTATATGGTTTGGGTCGTAGTCATCATGTTTCCCAATTTGTTGTTAAATTTCTTGGCCTATCCTTTTATAATTATGTTGAATATCGTATCCTTTTGTGTTATTATAGAATTATGAGAAATGTTGATTTACCACAGTGTAGTAGGTTTGTGATGTGTAGATCCTCTCGGAACCCTCAGTTGTTGTATCCGAGGTTTTCGTCTGCAATTTGTGAAATATCATTTGTAGTTAGAGTCGTAAGATCGTGGAATCAGCTCCCTTTGAGCCTTCGTAAGTTTACCTCTTCCACTTTTGCGTATTTGATGAAGTTGGCTTTGAAGAAATCGCTGATTACAGGTTGCATAATGTTACTTTGTTTTTTTTTTTAATTCTTGGCTGGGGAGCCATTTTTATTTAAGTTCGTTAGCATTTATGTTATAGATTTATACATATGAAATTTAATGTCTGTGGTTCTAATTATTGGCCTTGTTTGGAGTCTGTTATGTTAGTTGTTTGCATTAGCATTTTGCATTTTGTAGATTTTTTTACTGTTATGTATTTTTAATTTATTTAGTTTATTCTTTGTTTGGATTTTTATTTTTTTTTTATATAAGTTAATATAAGTTATTGGCCATGCTGGCTTTTTTTATATTACATTGTGTGAAATAAATGAAATGAAACTATTTATTAGTGGCATTGTTTGCCGAGGGGTAAGGCAGGGAAGACTATAGTTTCGAATCACGCCACTGATTCTCATCATTTCCCTTAGTTTTTTGGGATATCCTTCCCAGAAGCTATTGCTTCTGTACAAAAAACCTTTCATACCTAAATGTCTCTTGTAACAAAGCGAAGTACTTAGCTGACCAACGACATAAACTGCATGAGAATTTTGCTGGTGCCTCACTTCGAGGTTAACAAGGCATTTACAAACAATACTTTCCCACTATATTTTTACATATTTTATTATTTGTTTTCTTTTTCTTAATTCTACATTTTATAAATATTTAAAAAAAAGGAAAACATACACATACAAATAAGTGTTAAGTGATTTGTAATTTGACTCAATATAATTTATAAAAAAAATAATATTTGTTTTTATTTCAAAATTACAAAAAAACATATTTGTTTTCTTAATTTGAAAATTGCAAATGATTGTATAAAATATAAAGGCAGTTTACACAATGCAATAATGGAAAGATGGACACATTTACTTTATTGAAAAAATTGATAATCGTTTAACGAACAATTCTAAAAAACGTGACTACAAATTTACTTAAAATTTTAAAATTGGTAAGAAAAATTAAAAAAGGAACCAAAAAAAACATAACAATTGGATTTTATTTTCTTATTCGTTCTTATATATTACTAGCAGACCCGGCAAACGTTGTTTTGCCCTATCAGAATTGCATCAATCTAGGTTTTGTAAAAATTAACGAATTCATGAAAAATATATTTCAGAAACTTTTTACCAATTGTTAGTGGGGAATGTGTTAAGTAATATTATTATGGTTAACTATTAAATTATGTCAGTATGTATGGTATTTCAGTTTATCAATTGGTGGAACTTATTCCACCAAACATAAGTAAGGATGGCGTAATTACTATTCATATTTTGATCACATACGATTCATAAGTCTTTGGAGTCATCAAAATTGGTGCAGACGTTCCACTATGTCGCGAGTTCATATAAACAGCGGCCAAAAATAGAAGGAGTTATCGTAAGTCAATGAAATTTGGTACATGTGCTTATTATTGGCCTAAAGAGCAACTGACAAAAAATTTGATAGATCGGACCGAGATTTCTTATACCTCCCATACAATGGGTCTTGAGAATGTCAAACTTTTTGGCCTATAAAATCTTTAATATTCAAACAAATTCAATGAAAATTGGCAATTTACATTTAAGTTGGCCTCTAAACCAACTGACCAAAAACTGGGTAGATCGAACCATGATTTGATATACCTCCCATACAAAGGGTCTTGAAAATTTTACTATTTTGGGCTATATAATCTTTAATATTCAACCAAATTCAATGAAAATTTACAATTTACATTACCTTATGCCTATAAAGCAATGGACCAAAAACTGGGTAGATTGGGCCAAGATTTGATATACCTCCCATACGAAGGGTCTTGAAAATCCGCTTTTTGGATTTAGTTATAAATTTTTTATATTCATCCAAATTGCAGGAACATTTTCATGTCTTCTTCCAAATTACATCAAATTTGGGCGAAGAAAGTAATAGGTGCTGTAATTTAGTTGTTGGCCCATATTTCAGGTACCTACCATACCAAAAGTCCCTAAAAATTTAACTTTCTGTACTATAAAATCGTTATATGCAGCTAAATTAAGTATAGTAGTTTTATTTTTGTTGTTTTAGTTACTAATAAATTACTTTTTATCATTCACAAAATTTTCAAAACA